GTTTTTGTTTTTTTTTTTAAAGAGATGAGGTCTTACTGTATTGCCCAGTTTGGTCTCAAACTCCTAGATTCAACTGATCACTTCTCCTTGGCCTCCCAAAGTGTTGGAATTACAGGTGCGAGCGATTGTGCCTGGCCTAAAACATTCTGATTTACTATAACTGATAGTAACAGTAGTGTCTTAACCTAAAATTACTTCACATTGGGACCTGCCTTTCAAAGTGATGCATAATTGGTGAGTTTTACCATCATGGGCCTTCAGTATGGTGTGAAGCATCACAATGCAAAATGTGAAGCAAGGAGCAGGATTGTTTGAAAATGACCTGGGTATTCACTTGAGTTGCTTCAACAAGGAGCCATCTGGTACTATCCCTCCATTCCTTTCTCCCAGTGGAATTATCTGCCTTCAAGTTTTGCTTATCTTTAAACTAGTGGCTTCCTTCTCACCACTGCAGGCATGTTGTTTTCTCTAGATGCTTGGTAGGTGGAGCTTCTAGCTGTCACCAAAATGTAGAATGCTCAGTGCCAGGCAATCCATTTGTTCCTTCACTGATACAAGTTCTTGTACTTTAAGGGATAACAAACAGGGTAATACTTAAAAGATTGGCTTCATTAGAAATTAGAGGATATGTAGCCAGGCATGGTGGCGTGCACCTGTGGTCCCAGCTACTCAGGAGGTTCAGGTAGGCGGATCACTTGAGCCTGGGAGGTCGAGGCTGCAGTGAGCCTTGATCATGCCACTGCACTCCAACCTGGGCAACAAAGCAAGACCCTGTCTCAAATAAATAAATAAATAAATAAGGAGAATTATAGTGGGTTATACTAAGCAGGCAAGTTTTGTTTTGTTTTACAAAGCAGCTTCTACCATAGTGAAAATAGCCCTTCTAGAGGACCGTGTCTGTTTATCCTGCACTGTTATAGGCTGTACCTAGAGTGTGTAGGTCATTAGAAGACCTGCACGTCTCAAGAACTTAACTTTTCTCGGTCCCTCTTTTTTTAGCTGATAAAGTTTTACAACTTTAGGAATATGAGCTGATAGTTGATTGTATGACCAGAATGTTGACATTCACCAGAGGTCATCAAGAAGAGTGGGGTTCTGATATGAGATGTGCCCAGTCGTTGCCTTTAAATCAACTGTGTTGTGATTCTGTGGCAACTTCCCTACTTACGCTGTTGATGTTAACTTGTAACTTTTAGAGCATTCTTCTGCCTTGGAGAAGGGGATCTTTAGTGTATTTGGCATAAGTTAAAATCTAGGAAAGATGGTATCTGGGGTGTTTTCTGTATTCAAAGGACATTGCAGAATATGTACCGCTTAACAGAATAATTAGATGAACTGTAGCAACCACTTATTAAAAGAGATGAATATGTAGTGCATGGCACCCAAAGAAGGAAAGAAATGAAGAGATTTTTGTTGTACAAAGAGCAGAAACAGAATCTGCTTGAAAGAACTGTAGAAGCCGATTGAAAAATTGTTAAACAATGAGCAATTGCATAAAAACTTGAGAGTATACGTTTGTCTTTGTGACAGGTGAAACATTTCCATTTTAAGCTCACATGGGATTTTTAAGTGAGAGGAAGAAACAGATCCTGGTATCCATAGGTGGGAAAACTTACAGATATGAAAACATTTTGATAAAAAGCTAACTTGATTGGTACAGAGCTAAAAAGGTCTGTAAAACAGGCTTTTTAGAAAACTTACATTTTAGGTTTTAATTTTTGCCTAGATTAATATTTGGATCTCCTCTCCCCTAGATGCAATATAAGTGACCAACTTTGCTGGTGTTTCCTGCTTACCCATCTCCCACATTCTTTTACAAGAGAACTAGACAGAGAATCAATGATAATTGATTGTGTTACTTAACCTGGGTAGCCTTAACATCATAACATTTCTTTCTGTATTTTAACAGTCTAGTAATAGATACTCAGTGAATGATTCTCCTTAATGAGCTAACTAATAATCATTGTTGAAAGCATGTAATTGCAGTAATGTTAAATGTTTATGGTTTGCTTTCTTTTTATAGAACACAAAGTAATTATAGTGGGACTGGATAATGCAGGGAAAACCACCATTCTTTACCAATTGTAAGTATGGGTGTTTATTAAACAGTTTTCACTAGTTATTGAAACTAATGTGTTTATAATTAATAAGAGATGCATTATAATAGTGATGGAAAAACTTAAATATGTATTTTTTGGGTTTTTTTAGTTTTTTTTAATTATTATACTTTAAGTTCTAGGGTACATGTGCACAACGTGCAGATTTGTTACATATGTATACATGTGCCATGTTGGTGTGCTGTACCGATTAACTCATCTGGTTTTGTTTTTAATTTTACCAAACACAATCTATAGAAAGGTGAGTGAAATAAACATTTGCTAAACCCTTCACAAACACTTACTGTTTTCTGGCCTTGAAAGAAATTAATGTTAAACTAAAATAAATAAAGCGCATATTAAAGTGCGGGATGAGGTGGTAGAGTGGATTTCACTTAGTTCTACCCACACTTGGGTTTATGTAAATAAATTGATAGCTCTAGAAAGCCATTGCTACCCTCCTGACTAATAGCTTTGGAATTTTTTAACATAGCCAGACTTGTCAAGTCAAAAGAAATGTGATCACTGCTGAAAATATTGCTGTAGTAGCTTGCAAGAGGGAAAGCCTTGAGACTTTCAGAGAAATATATTAATACCTTAGGACATTTTCACAGCTCATCATTCCGCTTGTCAGAGTACCTTCCGTTATCCTTTCAGTGCCAATGAAATGATCCTTATTAAGCAATAGAAATGGATCTACCAATCACTTTAACAAAATAGTTCTACAATTCTTTGCACCATTGTGTACCCCTTCCCACTCATCTTGCATTAGAAGACAGCCCTTTAGCTGAAGAAGCTGAAGACGTACTTCAGCTCGCCAGAAGTACTTCATTAGCCAGCAATTAACACATTTTTCAACTACTTTGCTAAAAAGCTACTGACTTAAAGTTTGTTGTTTCAGAGTTGCATAACTACTTATTTCTATTGAAAACATTTTCATTCATTGGTGATTATGTGTTTAAATATGAATTAGCTTTTAAACATCACATATAAACATTTCAGAAACCTGTCATCTTTGTTGAAATAATTTTACACATGGCTTCAAAGATATACATAAAACGCAAGAGAGAATTGCAAGCCTCCTCCAACACAGGACTGACGTGTTACCAGCAAGGGCATATTTGTTGAATTAATTGATTAATGTAGCTTTACCAATGATTATGATAATACAAGAGGTATGAGCATCAGTATTCTAAATATATGTATATGTGTTTCTGTGTGTGTGTGTGCGCGCACACACATATATATACACACACACGCGCACACACACATATTTGAGAGCTAGTTTGGCTCTGTTGCTGAGGCTGGAGTGCAATGGCGTGATCTCCACTCACTGCAACATCCACCTCCCAGGTTCAAGCGGTTCTCCTGCCTCAGCTTCCTGAGTAGCTGGGATTACAGGCATCCGCCACCACACCCTGCAAATTTTTGTATTTTTAGTGAAGACGGTTTCACCATGTTGGTCAGGATGGTCTCAAATTCTTGACCTCAAGTGATCCACCCAAAGTGCTAGAATTACAGGCGTGAGCCACCACGCCTGGCCTTCTAAATATGTTTATAGTTAATTTAAATTTTCACTTGCCCGTCGTCGTCTTTTTAGGACTACTTTAGATTAAAAAGCCTGAACTAATTGTTGTGGCTAAGTCTCAATTTAGACAGTCTTCAAAATTACGGATAGCCTACTATCCAATATTTTCTCTTTTGCAAATATTGGTGTCACAGTCGCCTAGAAACTTGCTTTTCAGGATGGGATGGGACATTGGGTCTTATTTCACCAATAACAGGGCATGGTAGTATTGGAATTTTTGGCCACAGAAATGCAAATTCACACCACACTGTTTCCTTTCTTTTCCATCAAGCTTGCAATTCCTCCCATTTAAAAAAAAAAAAAAAAAAAACCATAAAGCAAGTCTTTCTTCTGGAGTTGTTGTCTAGATGTTTATTTGCACAAATGTTCTCCAGGTTTCTAATTTTCATGCTAACGATTATCATCATTGGTGCAGAAGGTTCATTGATCTTAAAAATACAGAGATAAAAGTTGCTTCAGATTCTCAAGATTTACAAGAGCTTTTATGGTATCTTTCAACAGCTTAATGAATGAAGTGGTTCATACTTCTCCAACCATAGGAAGCAATGTTGAAGAAATAGTTGTGAAGAACACTCATTTTCTTATGTGGGATATTGGTGGTCAGGAGTCTCTGCGATCATCCTGGAACACATATTACTCAAACACAGAGGTATGCTAAGATGAATTTTGAATTTTAATCAAAAGGTCTGAAGAGTAAACCTAGAAAGTAGATAGGCTGGACCTGGGTGTATTGACAGTTGCCTTTTTTGTTGTTGTTGTTGAGAAGGAGTCTTGCTCAGTCGCTAGGCTGGAGTGCAGTGGCGCGATCTTGGCTCACTGCAGTCTCCGCCTGCTGGGTTCAAGCGATTCTCCTGCTTCAGCCTCCCAAGTAGCTGGAATTACAAGGAGGCGTGCCACCACTCCCAGCTAATTTTTGTATTTTTAGTAGAGATGGGCGTTCACCATATTGGTCAGAATGGTCTTGAACTCCTGATCTCGTGATCTGACCTCTTTGGCCTCCCAAAGTGCTGGGATTACAGGCTTGAGCCACCACGGCCGTCCTGACAGTTGCCTTTTAATAAGATCCTTTTTTGTAAGGAATTTGGGTTTCTGTTTTTTAAAAAACAATAAAAATTTCATAAGTGAGACTTAAGAATTTGGGTTTTCAAATAAAAGAAAAGGCGAATAGAAAGACTGTTTGGAGCTATTGTTAGTTGAGTGCTTACTGTTTGGCCAGGCTTTCTCTGTTCATCTTCACAAGATTTTAATGTCTCCAGGGTTGGAGAGATCTGACACATGGAGAAATTATATAGCTTTCCCCATCATCTCACAACTTTCTAAGAGACCCTGACCGGGAGAGGAATGAAGTATTTTATTAATTTAAAAATTTCTCATAACATGAACATTAAAAATGTTGGTAGTTTTTTTTTTTTTAGTTAAAAAAAGTGGATTTGCAAATCATCTCTCAAAGTTCTCTGCCGCTTATGAGTTCAGAGCTAACTTGGGGAACAAACCTGGATATATTCATATTTTATTTCTGCTTTTATTTCTTCTTAGAGGCAGATATTTTTTTAAGACCATTCAGTATAGTTTAGAGAGATTTATCCTTGAGAGTATGAGTTCACAATTGCATCCATTTAATTGTTCTTTGCAAAGATGTACACCTAACCAATTATTTTTTCTAAAATGAGATCTTTTTTATTTTTTGAGACGGAGTCTCACTTTGCCACCCAGCCTGGAGTGCAATGGCACGATCTTGGCTCACTGCAAGCTCCACCTCCCAGGTTCACACCATTCTCCTGCCTCAGCCTCCCGAGTAGCTGGGACTACAGGTGCCCGCCACCATGCCCGGCTAATTTTTTGTGTTTTTAGTAGAGGTGGGGTTTCACCTGTGTTACCCAGGTTGGTCTCGATCTCCTGACCTCATGATCCGCCCACGTCAGCCTCCCAAAGTGCTAGGATTACAGGTGTGAGCCACTGCGCCTGGCCGAGACCTTTTAAAAATTGGAGTTGGACCAGGCGCGGTGGCTCAGTCCTGTAATCCCAGCACTCTGGGAGGCCGAGGCGGGCGGATTATGAGGTCAGGAGATCGAGGCCATCCTGGCTAACACAAGTGAAACCCCGTCTCTACTAAAAATATAAAAAATTAGCCAGGCGTGGTGGGGTGCACTTGTAGTCTGAGCTATTCAGGAGGCTGAGGCAGGAGAATCACTTGAATCTGGGAGGCAGAGTTTGCAGTGAGCCAAGGTGGCACCACTGCACTCCAGCCTGGGTGACAAAACAAGACTCTGTCTCAAAAAAAAAAAAAAAAAAATGGAGTTGGAAAGGAGGAGGTAGAAAAGGATGTAATATGAAGAATTTTTGGTGAACAAAGTTGCCTTTTTAAATAAAAAACATGTATTGTTCTAGATTTATATTATAATAGCATATGTGTATATGTGTATATATTCCAATGCAATATGTAAGTAGTAAACGAAGATGGCATATCATAGATACTCAGAATTTGTGGTAGCACTTAATTGGGTATGCAGAAGATGTTGGTAAGCAAATAGTGTCGTTAAAGGGTAGCTTACATGTTTATACAGTAAAATAATGTTCTGAAACTAGAATAAGTTAGAAAGTAAGGGAAGGGCCAGCTGCAGTGGCACACTCCTGTGATCTCAGTACATTGGGAGGCCAAGGTGGGCAGATTGCTTGAGGCCAGGAGTTCAAGACCAGCGTGGCCAACATGGCAAAACCCCATCTCTACTAAAAACAGAAAACTTAGCCAGGCATGGTGGCATGTGCCTGTAGTCCCAGCTACTCGAGAGGATGAGGCATGAGAATAGCTTGAACCTGGGAGGCAGAGGTGGCAGTGAGCTGAGATAGCACCACTGCACTCCATCCTGGCTGACAGAGTCTCACTGGCTCTCCAAAAAAAAAAAAAGTAAGGGACAAACGACATTGTAGCATATGATTAATTTAAACATCAGAGCTGTTAGTAGTTCAAAGCTCACAGTTAACTCCAGCTGTGAAAAGGACAGTTATCATTAATGAATAGGTCAAAGTTGATCCTAGTGAATCCATATGTACTTAAAGTGTTTCAAAAGGGTAGTTCTTGAAATGACTGAAACTCTGGAGGACTTAGCATGGGTCCAGAAAGAGATACCCATTACTGATGCCATTTGCATGAAATGTTCTTTTAATAAGTGATCTCTACAAGAATATCAAAATTACTACAAAGAACAGTGGCCCATGTCAGTTTGCTTTTTGAAAATTCTTCATGTGGAAGAGTCCCCTAAAAGCTGCCGTATGTCCACTATATTACAAGAAGTTACAGGTATTAAGTAATTCCTGACACCTTCCTCTCATTAACTCACAGTTGCATCCCCGTATTCTGTCGATTCCTCCTTTGCCATGTGACATTCTTTCCATTTATTCCCTTGTAAGCCCAACTCAGTTTATATTCAGATTAGTTGTCTGTTCCCTTAATTTTATTTATTTTTATTTTTTATTTATTTATTTTTTTGAGACAGAGTCTCACTCTGTCCCCCAGGCTGGAGAGCAGTGGCTCGATCTCAGCTCACTGTAACCTCCGCCTCCCAGGTTCAAAGGATTCTCCTGCCTCAGCCTCCCGAGTAGCTGGGACTACAGGTACACACCACCATACGTGGCTAATTTTTGTATTTTTAATAGAGACAGGGTTTTACCATGTTGGCCTGGTTGGTCTTGAACTGTCCTCAAGTGATCCCCGCACCTTGGCCTCACAAAGTGCTGGGATTACAGGCATGAGCCACTGCCCCTAGCCTATTTCCCTAATTTTAAAGTCATCTCTGTAATCTAATTCTACCCTTCATGTCTGTTTATTTTGCATCTATCTCCTGCTGTAATAGCATCATTTCATCTCATTTCTTAACTTTTTATTCTGTATAAAGTGTTCGGTTTAAGGGCCCTTTTTCGCTGCATCGTCTCCTCCATCTCCTCCTTCTCCTCACCCACCCCTCCACATTTTTTTAAAATGAGTTAGGGCCTCTCTGTCACCCAGGCTGGAGTGCAGTTGCATGACTCTCAGTACAGCCTCAACTTCCTAGGCTCAAAGCAGTCCTCCCACCTTAGCCTCCCAAGTAGGCGGGACTACATGCATGGCTAATTTTTATTTTTAATTTTCTGTAGAGAGACAGGGTCTCACTATGTTGCCCAAGGTGGTCTCAAACTCCTGGGCTCAAGCGATCATACCACCTCACCTCCCAGAGTGCTGGGATTACATGTGTGTGAGCCACCATGCCTGGCCTATATCTTCTTACTTTTTAATATGCAAGACCTACCTTTTTTCATGTATAGCTTTACCGACAGATTTCTCCTCTTTTTTTTGGCTTCTTGCCTTTAATTTCCCCTGCATCTCCAGTATATTAATGCCTAAGTATCTATGTTTCAATCTTGAGCATTTGTAGTTGATATTGCTTTATAAAATTGTCTTATTTTTAAGATGCATTTATCTTTTTCTTTCAAACTAGCTTTTCTTTCTAAGAGTTAGGAGATTGTGGTACATAGAAGTAAGTGATTATTGACTGTTTATATGAACGATAACGGAGTACTTTGAAGTTTTAGTGGAAAATATTACTGAAATTAATGTTTCTTTTAAAAAATTACTTTTTACTACCAGCATTTGAAAACAAATCATAGTATTATGTATTTGGGCATCACTTTAAAAAAATCAAGTTGGGCACAGTTTTTATTTGTTGAAGTTTTGAGTTATTTTCTTATCGTTAACATTTGGATTTTACTGCTTGATGTGATTCAGTATTGTAAAAGCTGTTTATGATGAAAAAGCAGTAAATGTTTTATAGTAATGATGATGCTGTGTAGAAAAGTACTTAGATTACTTGAGTGGTTTTACAGAAAACTTTTCAGCATCCCATTCAATTTTCTGTCTTTCCTTTTAATTTTCTTCTAGTTCATCATTCTTGTTGTTGATAGCATTGACAGGGAACGACTAGCTATTACAAAAGAAGAATTATACAGAATGTTGGCTCATGAGGTAAATTTTTAAAGTAAATCTTTAAAAAACAATGTAGTAAAGTATCTGTACATTGCCTTTGCTTTTTTGCAAAGATTAGTGTGATATGATGTTGGCTATTTTATTATTAACACAACTTTACATACAAAACTGATGAAAGTTTTGAGGTAAAAAAAAAATGCTCATTATTTTTTCAAACTTAAAAAACTCTAAGACATTAATTGTAGATTACTACTGTTATTACAAAAAATGTTCAAACCTAAAGTTACTTAAGCATGCCTTTAAAAGTCTGATAAATGAGATAAACAAAAGGAAAACTTGAGGGTCTTTTCCCCAAAAGTTTATAGTAACTGAAAGTTTTTTAATGAATAACTCAAGATCACTTAATTCAATTCTAAGTATTTCAGATATTTAAGAAAACTTAGTAAAACACATTCATGCACCATATCAACATAAGATATGAAATATCTTAAGATACCTTGCCAATCTGATTTTCCTCGCTTCTCTTTCAGAGGTATCTACTATCCTAAAAGTAGTGATTGGTATTCTTATGCATGTTTTTATACTTTTACTACATTTTTATGTCTTGAAGTTATACAGAGTATTGTATTCCATGTTTTTTTGTTTTGTTTTTCGTTTTTTGTTTTTTTTAAGACAGAGTCTCGCTCTGTCACCCAAGCTGGAGTACAATGGCGCGATCTTGGCTCACTGCAACCTCTGCCTCCCGGTTCAAGCAGTTCTCTGCCTCAGCCTCCTGAGTAGCTGGGATTACAGGTGCCCGCCACTACTCCCGGATAATTTTTGTATTTTTAGTAGAGATGGGGTTTCACCATCTTGGCCAGGCTGGTCCTGAATTCCTGACCTCGGGATCCACCTGCCTCAGCCTCCCGAAGTCCTGGGATTACAAGTGTGAGCCACTGTGTCTGGCCTGTATTCCATGTTTTTAAAACTAATACTATATAATATATATCTTTCTGAATCTTGCTGTTTTTGTACAACATTGTGACTTATCCATGATAATACATTCTGATTTATCCATGTTAATAATGTACATATTAGTTCATTCCTTTTAACAACTGTATAGTTTTCCACAGTATGAATATATCACAGTCAATCTATTCTTCTAATGTTTTCATAGTATAAACAATACTGAAGTGAATATTAACCAATGGGCTTATGTTATACAAAGACTAGTAAGTAAGAAGTATTGCCCAGCTCCTACCACCAGTACTCTACTTTTAAGTTTTGGAGAAACTCTAGTGTTTGGCAACGTACTACCATATCTACCTATTAGAATATTACTTATGTAGTTTTGAGTCAGTATTTAAAATTCAAATGTATTTTTTTTTCAGTTTGTCCGATTTGACTCAAAAATAAAAAATAATTATTTAATATTTATCTGTTAGAATGAATACTGAAATTATAGATATTTGAGATTATATTAAATATTAGCGCCTGATTATGTTAAAGTAGAAGCACTTCATTATAACTGTTCAGCTGGTTAAATTTAAATTTAAATTGTGGTATTTCACATATTAGAAATATTTTGTCTTGATTGCAGGATTTACGGAAGGCTGCAGTCCTTATCTTTGCAAATAAACAGGATATGAAAGGGTGTATGACAGCAGCTGAAATCTCGAAATACCTCACCCTTAGTTCAATTAAGGATCATCCATGGCACATTCAATCTTGCTGTGCTCTCACAGGAGAAGGGTAAGTTCATTGGTCTGAGGGGAGGTGGGACTTCTTTCAGATTTCTTCCAACTTTTTAGGCCAACTTGTTTTCTTCTTAGGTCCTGTTCCTTTTCTGTTTGTTTGTTCTTAATTAAAGGTGATTTTTATAATGTGTCTCAGGCTTACAACATAGAAATAATTCTACTAAAATCACTGGCAACTTAAAAACTTTAATGTAAATATAACGTTTTACCAAAAAGCAATAAACTATTGAATTAAGGTTTTCATAATCCAAATTTTTTGATGTTCTTTGTTGCCTTTATCATATACTGAGAAAAAAACTGTAGTGTCACCTTTCTTTTAAAGAGGAAGCTTGAAAGGAGGTTCACATTTTCTGCAAGGACTTAAACCTAAGCTGTCAGCTTTCTGCAAGAGAACATCTTCTTTATTATTAGAAGGTCTTTTGGGAAGCATAATTCTAGACAATAAACATTTGAGACAAATGCCATATAGTCTATTCTTCCATTTCTAACAATTTAAATGTGGGTATTAGGCCAAGAAGAACCAATATTATTTATGTATTACCCAGTTTATACCAGAGAACTTATCCACAAATCAACCTCACCTTCTTAGTTTTTCTCTTAGTATTTATCAGAAATAGCTTGCAGTAATAGCTGTGTGTAGGCCTTTTTGACTGAGTCGTAAGTATTCCATTCTTTAGAATTGAGGAGGGTAAGGTGAAGTTCCTGTTAACTTTCCCTAGTCGTTTAAGTCTCAGTTAATTTTAAAAGGCGGGGAGTATTTGCAATATTCATGGCAAAACTGGCAAAGTTGTATCTTCCAGATGAGACTGAAGCAGTTTCCCACAAACTGATTAAGAATATTTAAGAAAACATTCCATTTAAAAATTTAACTTATTATAGTGTGGCTTAAATGTTGACACTGATGTATATAAATAATGATTGTGCTACCAGCCTTTGGTTAAGACTTAAAAATAATAAGTATCCTTTCAATTTTTAAGTATAAAGTTTTTAATTTTAAAAATATTTCTATCTTTTGTTCAGGTTATGCCAAGGTCTAGAGTGGATGACCTCCCGGATTGGTGTGAGATAACTTTTTTGCTTGAAAGAGACTGCTCTATTTATTGTGTGACATGAACATTTTTTCCTAGTACCTTTGGCTGCTAAGGCAGCAGCATGTTTAATTTATAACAACACAAACCTCTGAGAGCAACACTTGAATCAAGTGCAGCTGAACTGGAACATAAAAGATTTTTTCTTAACTTTTTTTTTTTTAATACACTAATCTTGAGTTGGATGAACATAATGTATAACTATGTTTTCGGCAACAATTCTTCTGTTTATTCTAATTATTCAGTGACTACCTTGTAAGAAATGTTTGTCATATGCGTGATGTCGTCTGAAATATTCTTTTTTTTTTTTTTTTTTTTTTTGAGACGGAGTCTCGCTCTGCCGCCCAGGCTGAAGTGCAGTGGCCGGATCTCAGCTCACTGCAAGCTCCGCCTCCCGGGTTCACGCCATTCTCCTGCCTCAGCCTCCCGAGTAGCTGGGACTACAGGCGCCCGCCACCTCGCCCGGCTAGTTTTCTGTATTTTTTAGTAGAGACGGGGTTTCACCATGTTAGCCAGGATGGTCTCGATCTCCTGACCTCGTGATCCGCCCGTCTCGGCCTCCCAAAGTGCTGGGATTACAGGCTTGAGCCACCACGCCCGGCCCTGAAATATTCTTATAACCTTAATGACCAATTGCTTTCAATTCTTGACCACCACGCCCTCCCAACCAGAGAATTACTGGTTTGATAGAGTAGTCATGGAAACCATCAGGTACTGTCTGCAAACTTCTCCAGCACTAAATATTTGTTCCTTCTATAAACCATTCATCTTTCGGACAGAACTTACTACAAAGAAAGAAATCTACCTAGAAGATATATGTAAGGAAGATTCCACATCATGAGTGCTTGCCTTTTAACTTCCCCCACATTACTGCGAGTCATGGAATAATATTTAAGTTGTTATTTGCATGGAAATTAAGTAGGCTGTTTATTTTTCTAAAGGAATCAAGTTCACTCTTCTGCCTGCAACATTTGGTCAAAAACTAACCAAGGTAAAATATTTATTGAAAAGCCCAGCTTTGATGTTAAATATTCTTGAATAAATCTGATATTTTAAGAACGTCACATTATTCAATGCATATAAAACTATCAGAAGTTAGTAAAGCATACCAGCACTAAAAATAAGACAATTGGAATATATTTTAGTCTCAGTTTACAAACAACTTTATTATCAACAGAAATTTTAGCTCTTTTCTTTGCAAGATATATCACAGCTACTTTGGGCAGTAGCTAAAGCTGAAGTATGAACAGTCCATTTTGTTTCTTACAATTTGAAGTTGTGTCTGTCATAACATTTTTACCACCAGCAGTATATTACTTAAAAAAACTACATGGGTTTCCTTGAATTTATTTGACGGTATTATGTAATAGACTTGAAACAATTGCCATCTTTGTAGTTACGCCTTGGGTTCTAAAATCGTATCACAAACTGCTGAATTTAATCCTAGCTTTTAGAATATTAATATGAGACTCAAAGTTAATATTCTTAACAACTTATAAATTAAAAAGTCATCATCTATCAAAAGTTTATTGGATGGCATTAAAATGTTTTTGAGGCAGTTGTCTAATATGAACAATAATCTAGACAGTATATTCCTTAAGAGGAAAGACAAGTGTTGTATTTAGATCCTGTTTATTCAAATGTGTGATTTTGCTGAAATGAAAGGGATAAAATGAATACTTAGAGAATAATACTTCATTTTTGCAGTATTTTTTAATTTTGATGAAAAAGATTCAGTGTTTGTAATCTCAAAATATGTTTTCAAAATTGGTATTTTATTTTTAATATTTTTGTATGTTGATTTAAATTTTGCTCTTTTTTCAGGTGTTCTTGATTTATTATATTTAGTCAAGTTAATTTAGTCGAATGTGGTAACATTTTTCTGATTTATCTTCAGCTGTAGCACACTCTTGAACTGAACAGTGGCCAGAGGAAAGCTTTCTGGGCTTTGGAAAGCAGTTAACTTTGTTTTAAACCTTTTTCTTAGTGATTCTATATCAAGTAGAGGATAAGTTTAGTTTAACTTAGTTTTTAATATAACCCATAATCAAGAACATGAGCAAAAAGCAGACATAAATCAATATGGATACTTTGTGGTGTCTGTGCGGTGTGGGGGAATTAAGAAAATGCCATTTACCTAAGCGCAGTTTGCCTGAATTTCTACTTGGTTATGTTGTTTACCATAAGTACTGAGGATAATTTCCCTAAGTCTGTCCTGAGAAAAAGCATACTTAGTACTCCTGTATTTGTTCTTATGAGATGATTATCTGCCTTCTTGTATCTAGTAAGATTGGCTGGCTCAATTTTCTTCTGTCAGATTATATGGTTATTTTTTATATTGCCACATCAGCATTATATTAAAAGTGTTTTTAATAGTTGATTGTATTTTGCCAACTACTAGTATAGACTCAAATTTGCTATTTAATTTTTAAAATACAATTTATTTTCTAAATCCTTTAAAAAATATTTGGTTAGTTTTGGATTAGAAGTGATTTATGTTAGCCATGTGTTGAAGATGAAATTGGCATCAGTGTAGACTGTGCTGATTGGGAAAAGTTCATGATTAGGAAATTCATGTAAGACTTTTTAAGAGTATTTTTTAGGTTTTCACTCAATCTTTCCTGTTACAGTAACGTGAAAACCAATTATTCTTTACTCCAAGAGAATGTTTTAACCCAAGCAAGTATCTAATACTAGAGCATTGGTTCTGCCATTCATTGTAAATCAATGAACTATAAGATACTGTCTGAAAAATGTACATTTGTAATTAGTGCCTTTATTCATATTTTGAAATACATTCTTAGTTTTATATTATACCTGTTCTTTGGAAGTCACATTAGCAGCTAATTATTTCAATGATGAAATAATTTGTGTTTCATATCCCCCTTCACCTCCATGTATTGGCTAGCACAGTTCAGAGTAAGTGAAAAGCAGGGGACCCACCTACATTACCTTCAGGAGACTGTTCTACCTTTTATTTTTAATTTGAAAAGGAAATTAAATTTCAACAGAAATCTTTTAAGTGTGTTATAACCAAAGTGTTCAGTTATCCTTGCAAGTTCAAATACAGCATTTTTCTTAATTTTGAGCATGTCATGTCCTTCATCTTTAAACCCATCAGTCATACTGAAGCCCATTTGAGAACTCTTAGAATTAATAGAACCTTTTATAAGGGAATATACTGAATATTTTTATTGTTAATGTAACTTAATTCCTTAAAACCTGGAATATTAATATATATAATCTATTAAAAACTGAAGATGAAATATGTAATTTTTGCTTGTAGTTTCTTGTGTTAGTATGCTTAAAGGTATCAATATTTTTATTCTATATTCATTAGAAGAAAGGTAAGAAATTTAAGTTTCATTGCTGAAAAATTTTCAGTGGGTGCCACCCCATAGCCATAGTCATTTTCATTAAGCATAATTTAACTTTCATTATAGCATAAACAGAAAATAATTATTTTACTATGGAAACAGTGCTAGGCAGTGCTGTAAACAATATTCTCTGAAAAGTTGTGGGGCTCACAAAGAAAATTTTAAAGAATATAGAAGCTTTTTAAAAAAATCTTTGTAGTTTCTTAGGACAAATTATAAATATAATTGTTCTGAATAATCAATTTTTATTTAGTCCTTAACTATGTAAAACCATATCAGTAGAAAAATGTACTGGTGTCATGTCTAAAGATGGATAAATTTCATTGGAATTTATCTTTGAAGACTAACTTTATGAGGCAGACTGTTCGTCTACGGCTTTGGAACCAAAAAAACTTCACCCTGATTCAGTTCTAAAGGCTATTTTACATTTTGCCGGGGTAAAGTGACTTCAAGATACAGCATGGTGTCTTGTATCTAGTAGAATATTGTGCTATCTAAAAAAGTGGATTTGAGCTCTAATTTGGCCGTTTCTCAGTTGTCTGGTTGACCTTAGACAATTCGTGTCCACGGTTTTCCTTTTCTTTTTCTCATACTGAGGAACTTAAACTACAGCTCTAAAATGTCTTTTGGTTTTAAAATTCTGAATTCTTATATACTACTATTAAAAATTAAAAATCCCCCAAATAGTAGGGAAATACATGTAATATGAAATTAAATGTATCTTTATCCATTATTTGATTCCCACCTGTTATTTTATTTAGATTATGAATACAGCCAAGTAGGGAAAAAAGTATCAGTAACTGCTATTCAACTTAAATTCAGCGAATAGCTAATGACAATGCAAAAGAGAAAACAAGCCATATTGCTAAGAGAAGGATAGTAAGCTGCTTAGAAAGAACCAGCCTGTGTTGGAAGTAATTCTCTTCTAGAGAATTTACCTTATTTTTCCTGGCTTGTACTAATTGAATGTAAGTGGTTAGTTTGTTCAGAGTTTATTGCCTTTTGATGCCACCCCAAACTACAGTTCTGTGTGACTTTCCATATTGAAAGAGTAGGGTCAGTAGCCAGGTTGTCAATCTTTTACAAATGTCTACATAAATCTGAAAGTGGTTTATATTCAAGGTTAGTTTTTCAGTAGTGTCTCATCCTTATTGATTCACTATTACTGTGAAAAGTGAAATCCAAAAGCCAGGTTCCCCCCAAAAGTATTTTTTTTTAATTTTAGGTTACCAGAATAAATAGAAAAAGACTAATATAAAAAAATCTTCAACTATTCCATTTTAAATTTAAAGCAGACAAAAAAAAAAAAAAAAAAAAAAATTGTGCCCATCAGACCTAAAGGCAGCTTTAAGTGTATATAGTTTGGTGAAACATTTGGGAAATATTAATTTGGAGGTTTAGAAGCATACCGAAAAACAAATTCAAAGCACTTGCAAGTCAAGACAATACCATGGGGTCGAAATATCTTCAAAAGGATATTAGATAAGAGAAAATGTGAATGAAAGCAATGAATTTCTGCCTCTCCCCATATTTAGGGTACTTAAAATTACTAGAAAATACAGTCTTTTTACCATAGAGCTAGATGGCCTGTATTATTATTAATGTGGCCAAAGGAGTAAAGACTGATTAGGGATTTAGAATTTGGAAATGTAGTCACATGAAGGCATCTTTTGCATTTCTTAAACCAGTAATCTACATTTTCTCCTGGAAATGGAGAAATATAAAATGTGCTGTGTATAGCTTTTGGAATAGAAAACAAAGTTTTAAAAGAATGGATATGTTTTCTTGCACAACTTGTAAAATTTTAATTAAAGAATTACCTCATTTTTCTACCCATAAGGTGCTTTGCTCAAGTTTGTGGGATGTTGTACCATCCCATAAAAACCCCCTTCA